CTGAACATGGAAGAACAACACTGTTTTGCACATAGTGTATAGTGCACCCCAAACACACAAGAGAAGGCGTATATACAACTCAAAAACACTGGAGCCGTATTTATGCATAATTTATCTATTCCAAAGTAGACAGCGATTGTGATAATGATAATTATTTTTCTGTGGTCAGCTGTGGCCCAGTGTAACACTACATGTACATATACTCTACGTGGGTCCCTTTAAAGTGCTTGCGAATGCTATTCAAACAGTGACAACAATAATTGCGAAATTTGAAGTGTAATCAGATGTGTGGGAGTGTGGGAGTGAGTTAAAATTCTACGTCGCACCGGCATTATTTCAGCCATATAGCGAGTGTGGGAGTGACATACATGTTAAGTGCTTACTTTTTATGCACCTATAGTCGTCTTATCAGCTTCCGAGCAATAGGACGCGTCTCATCAAGTAGAGATATGGTGACCTAGCTTCACGTGGTAACAGTGTGATACAAGTGTATATTTTGTAATGACAGGTTACAGTTAGGTAACATAGATGGAAGGACAAAGCATCTGGACCAACCGGTCAAAGACTGCCTTATGTACTAAAACAAGCCACGCTATATTAATAATTCTACCATGAATTTGGAATTTACTCGATTCTGATTGGTCAATCAGAGGCTATTAAATCACAATAAACCCCTCTGATTGAAACAGCTGGTTTGACGTCCGCATCACCGCGGAAGCTTATATTCATAGAATAGTACTATTTTCAGTCATTGTCGGTAGGCATATTTAAATAATTATATCTACAATTACAGGTTACAAAATGCACAGATGCGGTTACTACAATATTCAAAGGATGTGTGGCAATACTTTTCGTGCAGAAAAACACGACAGAAATCAACAAAGGGAATGTATTTACGTTTTGGAGACAACAGAGAGCTTGGAATTTTGGCGCTTTTCTATATAGGACTGTGACGTCATATCTTTTGCGTCACAATGAGCGATATGACGTCATAATGGTGACGTGCGATGTAGAGCGAAAGCCTTGCAAAGCTTGCTTTGTTTTCTTTAGGGATGCCCACCTCGTGTTAGCTTACCAAGTTGCCGTGCTTATATGCTTTCGATGCCTGTCATATGTTCGAGTGAAGTATTACGGTGTAAACAAACTGCTTGAGTATATACAGCACCATATTTTGTTCGGTGATTCCGTCATTCATCTATAACCCACTCAAAACACTGAACTCAACCCTTGCCGCTCCACTCATTATATTTGCAAACACCAAAGAGTTCGCGTTTTATTTAGTCATGGTAGAATGGAGATAAACATACTGTGTTTTCAATGTAGAGCTAGGTTACCTGTAGATTTAACCGCGCTAAATTTAACATTTGAAACCTCACGCTGCGCGTTCGGTTCCAAATTCAATTTAGCGGGGTTAAATCTACAGGTAACCTAGCTCTACATTGAAAACACAGTATGTTTATCTCCTAATTAGATTTTCAGCCACATTTGACGCAAGATAACAATTACTTGATACTTACATTGACGGTATCATAAAACAAGTATCACATACCTGTGTGACTCAGTACAGCAACACAAAGGAGAATCAGAAGGGTATTCATGTTGGATCGTCCAGTTCTTGATCTGATGCTGCTGAGATCCGTGGCAGCTACAGTTATATACAGCGTTAAAACACGTCGAGCCTAGGATTGGTTATCTGATAATCCATACAATCGTTGGCCATAAATCAACGTAACCTCCAAACAGTAGAGATTGTTTTTTGTACTTTTATAACCCTCGTCCCCAAAACAAGCCCATTTTAGGTCCATGGTGAGGTGAGGTGAAATGGGGGTTAAACGTCGCGTCCAATATTTTTGCACTTACATAACGTCATTATATATATATCATTAACATTTTTGCCTGAAATAGATCTGTATTTCTTCTATGGAGGTAGAGGATGTATATGATAAGTATTTTGTCATGCACCTATGAAAGATATGAGACATTTTGAATGTGAAACAGAGCCAACATAGAGCCAACATTACCCAGGGTTTGTAATAACCAAACCTGTATTACAACCCCTTCCGAGCTGACATGGCTTGACAATACATTTAAAGTGGCGATCGGTATCAACCCGTGTTGACAATGGAGTTACGTCCCTTGGTGCGTCGTCTGCTCGTATGTTCGGTTAGCTCTACCGTGACAATCTCTTCCAAACAAGGTTCGCATTCACTTGCAAAGAGATACATATTACGATTTGATGTCATGGTTCACGGTCCAAAAGTTTATGTCAGTTTTCATATCATACTCCATATCAATCCACGATCCCCGTATCAGCCCTCTTGCCTTTGGTTGATATGGGGGCGGTCGGGTAGCCTTGTGGTTAAAGCGTTCGCTCGTCACGCCGAAGAGCCGGGTTCGATTCCCGACATGGGTACAATGTGTGAAGCCCATTTCTGGTGTCCCCCGCCGTGATATTGCTGGAATATTGCTAAAAGCGGCGTAAAACCATACTCACTCACTCACTCAGGTTGATATGGGGTATGATATAAAAAAAACTGCCATATGACAACCTCCAAGAAGTATATGGGCAGTATAAACTGATGATAATATCATGAATTGTAACGTACATCTAGAAGAGAGTGTATCGCCTATTTGGCTACTGATTTCATGTTCAGAGGGGACACGGGTGGCCCAGTCGTCTGATGCCCCGTTCACATGCGCCTCTATACATACGAGTATCTGTGTGTATGTGGATACGTGTGTAGAAATACATACGTGAGTATACTTGTCATGTGAACGCGCTTACTCGTGTGTGTATATTTACACAGGAGAAAATTTACATCATGTCTGGGGCATGTGGAAATGTAAATGTAAATTTGCACTGTGTGTATATGTTGCAATGTGAACGTTTATGTCAACGTAAAAGGATGATCTAAATTATCATTTGTAACAACCAAAAACAAGGAATCTAGCATGGAAACTCATTAAAATCGCTACCGCTAAACAAAGATCTTTGTTTAGAGAACTAAGAGCTGATTTTAATGAGATTGAAAAACACTATGATATGAATTGATAGCATTTGTTGATGATTTATATTGATAGTAATGTATTGAATGAACATAGGCGGAACCTTCATCCAAATATATATCTATCAACAGAAATAAAGACTGTGGCTTCCGTGTAATAGCATTCTAAATATTTGCGAGTCTACACATTTTTGTTATATTTATTGTGCATGTGGTTTCAACCATGTGCTTCCCTCTATGCAGTAAATTGTAAAGGTTTCCTTTTGGCTCAAGTTAAATTGTAGGAAGTATTTCATAATTGCATAAACTCCTGTGAAGGGAGGTCACTTGTTTCCAGGTTCCCTCCCATCATCTGACATAGAATAAATATCCCCATCATCATCGCAACTGCCTCATGTTTGGACCATCAGCCCAGTTGCAGGACATACACTTACCACCCGGGCCACATTTCTGTAGCCAACGAGCAATGGTATGACGCCAACAAACAAAGAATCATAATGAGGATGAATCTTGGGTTCGAACCCACAATCTTCGGATTCTAAGGGATGCACAACAACGAATAGGAAGTCCTTAGACAACTGTCCCATCCGTGCCCCTTCCAGTACGACTTAGCGAGTAACCATGTATATTCATAGCCGCACTAGGTGAGGTGAAGTGAAATGGGGTTAAACCTCACGCTAAAGAACATAAATACTGACTCCGACCAGTGCTTGTGTCATCCCCATAATGCCGAGCCCAAGGCAAGATAACAACAAGTATCATCTTTCGTCCTTTGGTTATACGCGGCCGGGGATCGGAACCCCGATCTTCCGCTCTCCAGGTAGACGCTCTGCCCACTAAACCATGGAGGCAGAAGCAGCATTTGGGCATACAGGAAAATGAATTATTGAAGTACAAAGGCTATTAAAATTCACGTTTCGTATACGTGACCACCATATACCAGTTTTTCGAAATGTACATCACAGAAAATAAATGACTGGCAACTGACCTTGGGTCGAAAATGGTGTCTTGATTTATGGAATAGAATTTCCACACTCTCTAGGTACGATTTGCAACTCAACGACTGAACAGATAATATAGGACGTGTAAACATTTCAAAACGCTTACGTGAGTCACGACAGCGATAAGAAAGATCAATAAAAGCTACGCCTGTCTCGGGAGTTCCTAACTTTCGCAAGAGTGAGTTTAAGGAATTAAACAAGGGTATAATTTGTTACTCTGTACATGCTTATTAACATTAGCGGTATATTTCGCTCATATACTACCGTACTCACTCAGTCATTATATGCAACAATACATAATATGATTCTTTATACCGTGTACAATGAGCTGTTGTCTACCGAGACGCGTTTAGCTTTCTGACTGCTTAACACACACAATTACTGAGAGGCCTGTGGGGAGATAGTGAGTGAGTGAGTATGGTTTTACGCCGCTTTTAGCAATATTCCAGCAATATCACGGCGGGGGACACCAGAAATGGGCTTCACACATTGTACCCATGTCGGGAATCGAACCCGGGTCATCGGCGTGACGAGCGAACGCTTTAACCACTAGGCTACCCGACCACCCCTGGGAAGATAGTAATACTTGGTAGATTTAATTCGTACCAGTGCAATTTTACTCTTTGTATAAAACAGAAAGAAACAACACTTATTATGTTTGGAGGATGAAATATTTGATGTTAAAAAATACACAAGCCCAAACATGTCCAAAGAATACAGTTAGTTTTTATATTTATTCAAAGTAAAATATGTCAGCACCTGACAAAGTTCGAAAAAATAAATAATCTTAACATTTAAAAAATGCTTTCCTTCCCCACTATCCTTGACAATTAAATGGTTGCACCCTTATATTGTGAAATACAAATTGATATTGCGTCGGGAACCCTGCGCTAAAACTGCTATGCCTGTCAACTTTTCCATGATATAATAGAACTGAGATAACACTCTACAGCGTGGTAAATCAGTTAGCGCTATATATTAACCCTTGCACTGCAGCGGTCATGACGACGTGCACCCGTATTGAAAGTGTCTCACATACACACAGAGAAACATTGTGCGTGGTTGAATAGGTACTGCGTCTTTCTATCGCGTTATTCTCGGTCGAGGTGAAGCAATGAAGACGACAGAGATGCGACCAACAGCACATTGGCTACTGTTGTTCATCTATGCTGGTAACTGTATTCAATTTGATAATTTCCTGATCATTGCTGTTTAAGCTCTGTTGGTGCAAAAATGTATAATTTTCACACATATATGTATGTACGAGTATGTTCTAATTAAATGAGGGCGGTCGGGTTGCCTAGTGGTTAAAGCGTTCGCTCGTCACGCCGAAGACCCGGGTTCGATTCCCGACATGGGTACAATGTGTGAAGCCCATTTCTGGTGTCCCCCGCCGTGATATTGCTGGAATATTGCTTAAAGCGGCGTAAAACCATACTCACTCACTTTAATTAAATGACCGGGAATTCATACTTACATTGTCAAAGTGATGTGTTTACATGTATGAATGACCTAATGTTCTGTCTTACACGGCCTAAAACAATGCAAGGGCTATGATCCTGTCTGAACATGATAATACTCAGGGCACATCCTGCATTCTTGTGTGTTCTTTTCAGGACGATGTTCAACGTATGGACAGAGGGTTTTTAACGTTGACCATATTGAGAGACACATTGTTGTGTCGGCAAATGATAACCAAACTTGGGGGTAAGATTTCTTTCCACAGCATTTGATGTGACATCCAATACGAACACCCAAAGGATACAGTAACCCTTATCATATTGTCATATTGTATTAATATCATCCAACAAATGTCCTCTTGTTCTTTGATTAAAGTACATGTGTGATGGTTTTCTAAAGATTCAAAATTCAAACTTTCGAAATGAAATACTGTCTCTTGTATTCTACCCACGTTGTGGATGAAATGGGTATTTCTTTATCATTAGAGATTTCATTTGTTAACAGTTTGAAAGGGAAGGATCTTTTAAAGTGTTTCTTTCTATTTTATCCAAATTCCCATTAACCCGGAGTAGAATATATCTTCAGCAACCCATGCTTGCCGTAAAAGGCGAATATGATTCTTGTAAGAGGTGACTAACGGGATCGGGTGGTCAGGCTCGCTGACTTGTTTGATAGATGTCATCGTATCCCAATTGGATCAATGCTCGTGATGTCAATCACTGGATCGTCAGGTCCAGACTCAATTATTTACAGACCGTCGTCATTTAGCTTGAAAATTGTTGATTGTGTTACTTTGGGCTTTCCTCTCACAACTGACTCTCCCTGATACAGTGAATACAGCAACATAATCAGCATTTACCTTGAGTACACATTGTACCTTGACTTTACACATGATGGTCGTGAGAGGCTAGGGGGCATGGGTGGCCCAGTCGTCTAAGGCGCCGCGATTCGCTATGCAGAATTGCGTCCCTTGGGCACACCAGAAACCTATGATTGTGGGTTCGAATCCCTGTTCGACCCAATTATGTTTCTAGGTTTGTCAGCACCATACTCGTGCTCGTGGGTTTCACCGAAGTGGTAAACGTCTGAGACCTGCATCACTTCGGGCTTTCCTTTTCCTTTCGGGCGTTAAACCCAACTCCCCCCCCCCCCCCCCCCCCGTCAGAGGCTACCAAATGGATCGGCATGAATCGTTGCTCAAAATATCGACCACTTAATTTTACCATCTAATTTTACTCGATTATTTACAGGGCGCCGTCATCCTGCTGAAATACCGCAGAGGGCCCATTATAAACAAACGAACAAACAAACAAACAAAACGCACAAACGAACTATCAACAGTTAAACCATGTTAGGAAACCAGCCTTCAGGGCGATTACTCCTGGGAATGTGTGTATTTCAGTTAACGTTCAGATTATATGAGTGCAGCGTTAAACAACACACAAACAAACACCAAGATTTTTTTAACCCAAGATGAAACTGTAATTTTTTCATCTTTATGCATTACAATCCGTATTAAACTGTGCACTTTCTTTTTCTGATCTCTGCACATTTCAGGTCAGATGCTGCATTGCGTTTTACATCTGGTTATGACGACCGTCATATTGTCTTGACAATCAGTACTGAGTTCCAACTGTTCCTACAAGAACGCTTACATAACAATCAATGAAGGTATTTGGTTGGATACAATCTTTGGTGTTTGTATGGCATTATTGTATGGCATTATGGCGATCAGCTTGGCATTGATTCGCATTTTTAGGGCCAGCTTGATTAAGCTTATATCATAGAATCGCCTCATTTTGTTCACTAAATCTGAAGCTCGTCACAGTTAAACAGAACTCGAATATGTGTTCCTTTGAAGTTTAGAGTTTTTGTATAAACCTAGATGGGTTCAATTTTTTGTGTGAAGATGAATGTTGACTTTTACTTTTGCAGCTTCAGCCACCGATGCAACAGGCCAATTTCTCTGTGGTGACGGAGTCTATGAAAGTTGTGGAAGAGTTGTCACTGCCGTCATTACCAAGTCGCAGGACGTCCGTATATCCTACATATTAAGACGTGCACGTAAGATGGAATGTTTAAATATGTTCTTCATTGCAATATACATTTGAGTGTTTCAAACTTTGCCAATTTTGTCAAGAAAAGAGGCTATCGATATGTCACAATCTATGTGTAAAACATAAATATACATATTCAATCTATTTTTCTTCTGTTTCAGTGACGTGTTTACTTTTAATGTTGTATCCATCTCTCCCTTCAGTTAACCAGTGCAATACCACGTTCCAGGCATCGAAAGCGACATCCATTCTCAGGTCGGCTGACATCTTCAGGCAGTATGGGTATGAATCAATATTCAATAATATTTCTCCCCACTCTCTCGTGACGCGGCGCCATAGGATACTGGGCTACATATGCCCGAGTGTTACTGTGGAGATTCCGGGTGAAAGTAGAAACCCCACAATATTTACTGCTCAATGTTGGGTATGGATATTCTAAGTGTCCCTGGGGAAATTGATTGTGACTAATTTCTAGGTAATGTCATACAAATAGTATTCGGTATTGCGTTGTCTTGTCACGCCGGAGACCCGGGTTCGAGTCTCCACATGGTTACAATGAGTGAAGCCAATTTGCTGGTGCCCCCCGCCGTGATATTTCTGGAATATTGCTAAAAGGGGCGTAAAACCATACCCACTCAGCATGTTAACACAGGCATATAATTTTAAGTACACAGTGTCCTCTTAACGAGGTATGACCTCATATATGTTCATCAATATCAGTTCCAGCTTGTTCAAAGGAACTTGCCGATGGACCATCAATAGCAGACCCGGGTACAATGTCCGTGTTCGGCTGTTGGAATCCAGTCTCCCTTCACCTTGCTCTGGAAACAAGATTAGCGTTGATGTTGGTAAGTATCTCCTTCTTTCATGGTGTACCAAATACTTTAAGTGCAAAGTAATTCTTCTCCAGTTGACATTTTGGCCATCCTATTTACACATTAACACTTGTTTAAAGTTGTAACCTGATGATATGTTTCGTTATGTCATGGATCAATTGTATCAGCCTGGGGGGTTCTAGGGTAGAAAGTTGGTCCCTACATGTAGAAACCTATGTTTATCGTGAGAGTCAACTAAAATGGGTCAGGCTTTGTGACTCTGTCTTGGGGGACCGATGACATGGTAAGTGGTTCATGATATCAACCAATGGTTTGCCTGCTCCAGGTTCGATCAGATTCAGACCACTGTAGCTGCATTATTGCTGACTGCAGCTTGAAATTTGAAATAAAATTGACACACAAGCACGAACACTCCAACGCACACAGTTCTTTTTGCCTTCTAATGATAAGCTACTGTCCTTTTCTTTCGTTTTCCTGTCAACTCCAGAGAATAAACTATTCGATTATCTCGAGAAACAGATTCTATTGTGAGTAACCAGAAAAATAGTGGTGACATTATATGAATGGATCACCGAAAAAAGGTGCTGCCGCCTGGTGTTCGCGAACACGGCAAGCATGCCCCGCCCCATCAGCATCATTATTTAAATATGAATATTTATATCATGTTATATGAATTTTCTAGATGATCAGGTCACGTTGTCATGGTGTGGTAATGACAGTTCTTCGTACACATCCTATCACTCTGAGCTGGTCATCCGGTTCAACATGTCAAGCATCGCTGATGGCCATGGCTTTACCATTAACTATACCGAAGTACAGGATTCGAGCCGTAAGCAAAATAAAACGTCCAAGCAATTTGCTGGGTTCTTATCCAGTGAGTGAGTGAGTATGGCTTTCCGCCGCTTTTAGCAATATTCCAGCAATATCACGGCGGGGGACACCAGAAATGGGCTTCACACATTGTACCCATGTCAGGAATCGAACCCGTTTCGGCGTGACAAGCGAACGCTTTAACCACTAGGCTACCCGACCGCCCCTTGTTCTTATCCAACTTAGAGCAGTAGGTATATAAACTGTCATACAAAAGAAACACCCATGTTTGATGGTGGTGATGTATTTGATACATGAATCATAATTGTGTTTTGGGTGCAGTGTTTCGGTGACTGTTTACAGCCTAGTTACGTTTCCAATGTATGCTTTCGTTTACCTGTCAGTTTCGTATGCGTACTAACAAGAAGGGGTCACGGGTGGCCCAGTCATCTAGGGCGATTCGCTGTGCAGAGTTGCGTCCCTTTGGCACGCCAGAAACCTATGATTGTGGGTTCGATTCCCTGTTCGACCCAATTATGTTTCTAGGTTTTTCAGCACCATACTCGTGCTGGTGGGTTTCACCGAAGTGGTAAACGTCTTAGACCTGCATCACTTCGGGCTTTCCTTCCACATTAAGCTGACACGCCGCGATATAACTGGAATACTGTTACAAGCGGCGTTAAACCCAACTCACTCACTCGTACTAACAAACTTTAAGAGTCTACGCGTGCGTGCATAAATATAGATTATATATGAGACTGTTAATTGGTTCTGAACGTGCTATAATTTCTTTTAAAGACATTTAGAAGTTTGAGTACTAATTAAAGATACGATACATGGATGAACACCTTTATTACAATCAGGAGCAACGTTTCTGTTTATGTTCTAACACCATTGTCAAGCACGATACAGTATAGATGATTGGGATATATACAATTATTATGCCTCAAAGTGAGATTGACCAATCAGAGAGCAAAACTATATATGTATATTGATATTTGATCCGAGGAGTGAGTGAGTATGGTTTTACGCCGCTTTTAGCAATATTCCAGCAATATCACAGCGGGGGAAACCAGAAATGGGCTTCACACATTGTACCCATGTCGGAAATCGAACCCGGGTCTTCGGCCTGACGAGCGAACGCTTTAACCACCAGGCTACCCGACCGCCCCTTGATCCGAGGATTTGCTACGACTTCGAATTTTTTTTTCTTGCAAACAATAATGATGAAGTATTCATGTTTGTGCAGCTGGAATCATCAGCAACTGTAGATCTTCTTTTCCTGCTGCTCAGCAGCCCAGAACACTCACCGTGAACTTAAACATCAACTCTGACCAGGTTTCACGGGGATATGAACAAGACAAAAGGTATAGTTTTTCAACTGTTATATGTCATAATATATTCACAAATAATTCATATACTGAACAAAAGTAGTTGGGGAACATGAATATGTTCAGAGATTTGTTTGTACTACTGTTTTATCATATACTTTTTATGACAAGCCTTTATTATTTCTGTCATAGACAGTGTTACGTGAAACTCACGACATATGTGTCCCGTGTGTTGGTAACAGTTCTGCAATCGTCGCTGCCTTCGCCCTGCTCTAACGACACAGTTCAAGTTGTCGAAGGTTCGTGGCTAATATAAATTGATATTTCAAAACAAATACAAAAGCACAGAAGCGACTAAGCTCCGGTCTTCCAAAACGAATAGACAGACTGCTAGCGATTACCCGTGGGTTTCTTTTTGTTAAGCAACATTCCAGCGATAAGACGGTATTGATTGCTCCTTTTTATCCAATGAAAACGAATTGTGGAACATTGACTTATTTTCAAATCTTCTTGTCAAACATTAGTAGAGAAGATTTGTCTTATTTCCAATCAATTTCAGGAATCGTTACTCAGTCCCAATGATTTGGATTAATTCAAATTTGAATACCTCATCAGTTTGTTATTGGTTTGAAGGTGCAGTTAAGAATATTTGAAAATGTACCAACTTTAACAGGAAAACAACCCATTGAGTTCAACCAGGAAGGACAGATAATCCGTAATTCATAATTTTGATAATTCTTTAGCTATACTGCACATTGTAATTTGTGAAAGAAACATGAAAATCGTTTAAAGTGCCAACCATATAGGGATACTTCACTAAATTTCAGCTTTTGCTCAGTTAACATAATGCTTTCAATTTATGAGGTCATAAACAAAGGATGACGTCATTTCACATTGTTCTCAACAATGCAGTAATGTGATCTCGTGTCGCTTTTACTGGTCTGTCAGAACGGTGTTTTGTTAAACTACAGATGCGAAGATATCTTAAAGTTATCGGCCCCTTAGGGACAATATGATCCATGTACATTTTATGATAAACGTCACATTGTATTCTTTCTATAAGGGCCTTACCTGCGAACATCCTTGTGCGACGACTCAACACCCACAGTTCAGTCAATGGGGACCTTTTTGACGATCAAGTACAACGCCAGTAGTGTAACCAGTGGTTTTGTCACTATACAATACAGGGCACTTTCAAAGTCATGGAACCAAACCCGACCTTGTGGATTATCTTACAATTATCCAATCAAGAGTTTCTGGTGTAAGACCGTTCTTGAGTCTTCCTATTTTAGCATAATATGTTTTATATATGTTTCAATTCTTAGTAAACTATTTTCAGAAAAAGGCATATTTAGACCCTTCTAATTTTAAAATGGTTATATAATATCACCAATCTCCGTTAAAATTAGTTTAGAATCACGATGACGTTGTTCATGTATTTTATATGAAACCTTTATGTATATTTACAAATGCAGCTTGGTGGTTGTGTCGCAGTTACCTTTCTTCCGAGAGCAGGATGCAAACCATGACAGTAACAAACAATGACTTCTTCACTGTATATCCATATTTTCCAAGGTATGTCAAATGTCATAAATATGTCTTAGTAATAGTTGCTATTCAAACCTAATGTAAATGATATGAAGGAAACTATTTGTTTACAAAGTAGTAGGTGTAATGTCGACAGTACACATCAGTGCAAATATCCTGTACTTGTGGCGTGATCACCATAAAAACGTTCACATTGGAGGTTTAAGGCTATTATCTACTTTTATTCGACGTGATAATGTCCCATTGGTTTGTCAAGCTCAAATCATGTTCGTATGTTTTTCCGAAGGAGTACACCTCTATTACGTCATCCTCGATTAAGCATTCTATCATGACAAATGCCTCAGAACCATTCGCCTCAATAGCCTCGTCTCAGAAGTGATGTCATCATCTTAATCTCTCCTAACTTACATGTATTCGTAGCTGCGAATTTCTGTCGCTAATCAGAGTACTTTCACTGGAGGACAATTATTTTCGTCGTACTTTATGGATAGGACTCACAATGACCCGGTGGTGGCGAATGGGCCCGGGATATTTATCTCAATAGAATAAATATTTAATGCTCAAAGGATGCTACGAGGTCGATCGACGACACTTTAGCCTTTTCTCTTCACGTTAGTTTGCAACGCCGTGGTTTTACTGAACTTCTGTCCAAAGTATCCTTGAATTCAATGTTGTTTTACAAACTCCCAGTGTCGTCAATGATATTCGGTGATCCATACTTAATTTTCACCACTATATTGCCTTTTACACCCAATGGAATCAGCTTCGGCAGATAACCAAGACTGATTAAATAACTCAGCATCTAACACGACGACAATGTAATGGCACGTTTAATCACCAGAATGACACGGGAATGGAGGATCGGGACAAGCATTAATAGATATGTGTATGCTGAAATTGAGACCTATCAGGGTTTGAGATGTTCGCATGGAGTCATCCAAGTATATGATTGTAAGTTACGATTTCATACAGTCATTAATCTGGCCATTTCACATTTTGTGACATTTGTGACATATGCATAGTGTAGGCACATGTGTATAAGCATGATTCTACATCTGTTTGAATATTACTGTTACTGTTCTAACACCATGTTACTACGAATACCAACTTGAAGTTAAGTAGTTAAATGCGTGACTCAATTGTTTTGTTTTTGAGGTTTGCTCGTCTTTGGTGTAATCATTATACGACAGTATATTGCTTTTTCAAACTTAAAGGTTCAGATTCCTGGGACTTCAGATACTTAGGTTCTTGGTGTGATGGAAGGGCCAATTATACGTTCGGTTCAAGGTCATGTCTGACTGTGTTCTTCAACGCTACAAACCTCTATGAAGGGAGCAACACAATCTTCTCTTTAAAGTACAAGAGTATACAACAATTGCCTTCTGGAACAGCAACTAGACCTTCAACAACCTCGGGGCCGTGGAGGACAAGCGGACCAGGTGAACGACAAAACACTAGTAGTCCCTTTGACACCAACAATGTGGCTGTTTAGAGTTGCTTTAGGCTGGCATAATATGGCATGTAAGACCAACATACAATCTAAAGTTCATTTGGAATACATTTCATAGGAGAACTTGTTCGATTACGCTGGGGACGGTCGGGTAGCCTTGTGGTTAAAGCGTTCGCTCGTCACGCCGAAGACCCGGGTTCGATTCCCGACATGGGTACAATGTGTGATGTCCATTTCTGGTGTCCCCCGCCGTGAAATTGCTGGAATATTGCTAAAAGCGGCGTAAAACCATATTCACTCACTAACTCACTCGATTACGCTGGGTACAGCTAAACTGCGAAAGATAAACATAAATGTTAACCAAAGAATGGCATCAATTGTGAAATATATGTTGTAACTGTTTTTTTAAACATGGAATTAAAGGATGCAGTTAGACTTCATTTAGAATTTTATAAATTTTTTGCGATATCTTTGTTTCAGGTTCAGAGACAACATTCAGCTCCAACCAAACCGCCGTCAAACTAGGTCCGGTGTTTGGCGTTGTTCTGTTGGTTTTGGCCGTGGCAGGTGCTTTAATTGCGTAGAGAATGTATAACAGAAAGAAAATGTCACCTTACCAGGACCATATCACTGTCACAGCGAAGCGGGTAGTTCTGTATTTTACGGTAACGCCACCATCTTTTGCCAATGCTGTTTACGAAGAAGTGAAGTCACCGGAGATTGTCAAAGAAGCAGCTAAAGCACCGTAATCAATACTTGTATCTCTATCAGAAACTTGGTGTCGGGTTTCCCAAGGGTTACGTCGAAGACAAATCGGCAACCTATGATAACTATCTTCGCGGGGGAAAAGTGCATCCTGAGATCTAAATGACTGACAATGTAATATTCTGGTTTGGGGTTTGTTTTTTTCAATATTTCCATATTTGTCTTTGAAAGAAGGAACCAAACATTGATTTTACTCAAAACACATAATTTTCCAGAACATTCAGCATGACCAATAAACGACTCTGATTAAAACCTGATCAATTATTTCCATGATTTTCGTAAACAGTTTATATTTTTAACCAAAGTCTCCGTGATCCCTATTCCTCCCCAAGAATATCCGCTATAAGTTGACCGAAGATGAAACAGATCGGGACTTTAAATATGTGTTTGTGTGTGCGCTTGAACTTAAAAATAACTGTTGCGACAATTGTGTTTATTTTGCGAATGTATCACAAGACATTGTATTATTAAATCATGAAATCTGTGAAGTATTCTCTCTTCCACAACATTCAGTAGAGGGCCGAACAATGTCTACCCTTTAAACGTATTTATTCATTAATTTGCTATACAATGATTTTCATAAATGATAAGGAATATAATGTAATAAACGCTTTCAAAGCAAAAGAAAATAGTTCCTGACTTGAAATTATATAGATGACACCATGCACGGGAATATCGAGTAACCAAGAGTCAAGTAAATGGGTATCAGTTATTTTAAAGTGTACGAAATGATTTTACATTTTTACCATTGTACCAAATGACGTATTGTGTTGATCATGCTATCAGCCACTTGTTTCGCTTGATCAAATTCAAGGACTCATATGCCGCCGTGATACAGCAGTAAATATGTTGTCTGTGGTTGTGGGGTAAACAACATTCACGCATGCACTTGTGTATACAAATTGTGCTAAAACGTATACAGTAAACTACGGTTATAACGAACACGCTTATAACGAACTGACGGATATAACGAACTTACTTTTTGGGTCCCGACTATTTGCTGTAGTTATGCTGTATATATGCTTATAACGAACTATGGTTATAACGAACTAATATTAGTAGTCCCTTTGAGTTCGTTATAACCGTACTTTACTGTATATTATATTTGAGTTGTCACGAAACTATTAAAGAAGTACACTGACGTAAAGTGTTATGATTCCAGTAAAATATGACTGCCCTTTCTTGGTATTAAGTTGAAAAGGAACTAATTTCTTGGCGCAGTCCTCAAAACATACAAGTTATTGATAAATATTTTCGTTCAGGGCGCCAAAAAATGGTAAAAAAACCTTGTACGTGTACTGTAAAGATCAACTCGCGATGGCAACGTGCACCAGCAGCAGAGGGATCATGTAACTGCAGATTACTAAGCGTTTTAGTTTATTCTTCAAATATGTTCCATGAAAGAGTGTTTCGTCAGTCTAAAAGGAGGATGTATGTTGAGGTTGCCCAAGAAGGGATGTGTTTACATTAGTCAGACACGTTTCCCAATCAAAATAGTCAAAATAAAGATCAGTTAATTCCAAATGTAAATGCATTGAAATGTGGCTTTAAGATAATGGAGGAATAATGGACAAATGACAACCAACTTTGTCCCTTCGTGAGCAATAATGTGTCTTTAAACAATAAATAGAGTGGTCTGGTGAATAGAGCGCCCGCCAGGAGAGGGCAAGGCCGCCGGTTCGATCTCCTGGCCGCGTCATTCCAAAAGACGTTACTTGATGATATCTTGTTCGGCATTAAGTGTAAAAATATGAAACGGATCGACTCGGAGACAGCATAATGTGCCAGAGTTTGGTAACTATGTTACACTGGGGAATTATATCTAAGTGGGCTAAGACTATAAAACGGACTACCACAAGCAGCCATACACACTCGTGCGTGCACGTTGCAACAATAACCTTGACCTCGACTGTCACGTCAAACCACACTTAAGCTACCAAACATTAGAGAGAATGTGCTTTGATGGCTATGAAATCAAAATACAAGTGTTAATGTTCCGGAGTTGACACCCTTTGGTCTGACCACGACTGTTTGACATTTGACCAACAACCATTTCCGAATCCCTACCATATTTCCAACACATCAAAACATAACTATAACCAACTCTTATTACATCGACAGAAATATATCATATTCATAATGTAAATGTAAATGTAAATACACAGTTCGTAAGCTTTTGGTCTCTCTGTCACTATCTATTCGAGTAAACCCACGAACTTACACAAATTCCACCAAAGATGTCTTGCCATTATGACACTGGAATAGTTTTGTCTGTTATCATCCATAGATGTACTTTGTAACTTGTATGTATTTAAGAGTGTATATGAACTATATTCTGTTTGTGTACTCCAAAAATACATAAAATCATAAAACAATGTTTGACAATCTTGCTGAAACTGTATAAATCAATATCTCTTCTTTTGCCAACACCAAACAAATTGTCAACAGTTGCCAACTTTTATGCGTTATATACAAAGTTGAGCGGAGAGCGTTTTCCTTTGGTTTCAAGGAGTCAAAACTTTGTGTACAAATTAAATCAAACACATGTTGCTTCACGCGAAATGTTTCGGTGAAGTAACTCTCTTCTCAATCAACTTTGTTTTGAAAGTCGTGAACAGACTGACACAATTTACATACTTTATTTACACACCTAAGATGCTTTTCATGTGAACGCATATTATATTTACATATACGCACGTATGTATAGTTACATATGTGTAAAATTACTTACGTTAGTAAATGTTGTGCATGTGAACGGGGTATAAGGCGCTTTTCCGTGCACCCGTGACTGGTCTTCCTTACCTCATGAATAAGAAAGCATTAGTTTCATCCAGTTAAAATGCTGAAAAACGATACTATGATATAATCCCTTTTCTCAGAAATGAGGAGACGAACAAGTTTATTATTATTATTATCTGCACTGCTTTAAGTCCATGGTGAGGTGAGGTGTAATGGGGTTTAATGTCGCGTCCAAGATTTTTGCACATACATAGCGACATGCATGCACGTGTGTGTGTGTGTGTGTGTGTGTGTGTGTGTGTGTGTGTGTGTGCGTGCGTGCGTGCGTGTGTGTGTGTGTGTGTGTGTGTGTGTGTGCGTGCGTGGGTGGGTGGGTGTGCGGCTGCGTGTACTAGTCCGGACTAATGCCGATTTTATAGTGCTAGCCCAATGAGATACAACGCCGCAGTTTAACATGAATACCCCATACTCAGACACAGCATACTGACTCCGAGCCGATCAGTCCTTGTTTTAGCCCTTTGATGCCGAACGTCAGGCAGTGTAACAACAAGTACCCTTATTTAACGTTGTTTGGTATGACGCCATCGGCAATCAAACCCCAAATCTTCCGCTCTCCGGGCGGAATTCGAAGCTCTACCACCAGACCACGGAGGTGGTTTTTGAGTCCACGAAGAAGCATTACTGTTACGGCAGATCATCAGATAGCATTACTATAGCTTGCATTTGCATATTATATGTGTTATTTGTTATCACCTTTGTGACTTTCCGACAAATTGTTGTGGTTTAATTCTCTGTAAAGCAGTGATGGCAGTCTGTGAATTGGTACATTCCACTTCAGAGCCAGCCGATGGCTTTGTTGGGTTTGCACGCAAAAGATTGCAAATTGGCAGTATGCAGAAACATCATACGATGGACATTTTTAGTTCGTAGATGCATGTCAGTATGTGCGTTGCTTAGCGACCATTTTGAATTTCTAATAGTTTCAGATTTGACTACGATGCAAAAGAGGTATCTGCCCAAACCATTGCTAATTGTCAGGACGCATCATCAGTAGACGCTGGACATTTCGTGTTCTTAGTTGCTTGTCAAAAGTCAAGTTGTTTGGCGGCAATATTGGATTGAAGACTGCATTAATTTATAAAAACAGCATACTACATTATATATCTCAGAAGCTATAGGCCCAACAGCTGCCATGTGTCCATGGTGTCCCTCTAGTAACTGGGTTTGTGATATTCTTGACACAGTGTCTGCAGAATAGAACACAACTCCTGAGATATATCGTTGTTTAAAGGGCTGCTAAAGTCGACAACCCCCTACAACAGTAGGAAGGATAATGTCCGAATTCCCAAATCAAACCTTTGAGTACACTATAACATGGCCGAGATGCAGTAGGCAGTCCAATCCTTCAAGGTACTCACGCATGTATCCAACTCACGCATAATTGTATGTCACGTGTTCCCTTCAACTTAACGACTACCGAACGTGATAATCAGTTTCACAATATTTCACAACATCTTGATTGACATGTGGTTCCTCGTTACATAGGGGGCACGGATGGCCCAGTCATCTAAAGCGCCGCGATTCGCTGTGCAGAGTTGCGTCTCTTGGACACGCCAGAAACCTATGATTGTGGGTTCCCCCAATTATGTTTCTAGGTTTGTCAGCACCATACCCGTGCTCGTGGGTTTCACCGAAGTGGTAAACGTCTGAGACCTGCATCACTTCGGGCTTTCCTCACACATTAAGCTGACACGCCGTGATATAACTGGAATAATGTTAAAAGCGGCGTTAAACCCAACTCACTCACTCACTCACTCCTCGTTATATAATACATAGCAACCCACGTGGCCAAAGTGTACCCTTAATGTATTGCATTGCTTGTCTTCAATAATATATCCTATATGGTGTGAAGAGTTTATGAAACTAGTTACATTTACTAAATAAAAGGCGACCATGCTTGTGGTAAGAGGCGACTAACGGGATCAGCTGGACAGGCTCGCTGACTTGGTTGATGCATGTCATCGTATCCCAATTGCGTGGATCGATGCTCATGATGTCAATCACTGGATTGTCTGGTCCAGACTCGATTATTTACAGACCGCCGTCATATAGCTTGAATATTGCTGAGTGCGGCGTTATACAACAAACAATCAATCAATCAATCGATTGAAAAACTACGAACCCGTAATCACAAAAAAGCCGAGTGTTCACACTATAGTTGTGTGCCGAGGCAGTGAACTGTTAAAATACCACAGGACCTCATTGGTGTGTAGATTGGAACGGTTGAAAATCGAAATTAACAATTAAACCTACCTACCTCACGCCACACTCAGCAATATACAGCTGTATAAATGTTTAGTAACTGTTTGATAACATAATCACGGTACAATATGTAAATAATACAATAATATCAAGTATAAATTTTAAAAAACATCTTGAAGTTTCATTTCATGCGACAAAAGCAGTTTATCAGTGCACGATCTTGATCACAAAAGCGAGGACGACAGAAATGAGGACCGGGCCAGGCGCTAACCTGGCACCACTGCAGTACCCTACTTTCTGGCAGTGGATATTGGTTGTCGATGTCGAACAGTAGATTTCGTAGTTGCCGTACGTCGTGCACAGTTCCTTGCCTGAAAACAACGTGGTGAACAATTACTTTACCAAAGAAATACTCAAGATCAAAATTGAAGTTTCTCTCATAATTGGGATTGTTTCATATTCCACTAAAATACATTGTCAATATACCTGTCTACCTGAAATTTACCTGAAATTATTTTCTGTTTTCTTAATAGGGATAGCTGTAGGTGGGCCCACGATTTCGTCAGTAGTTGTAGTATTTTGAGTTCGGGTATGTTCATCCATATGTTGGTTTTGTGCGGATAATAATTTCCGAAATTGTGGGTTAACTTTTGTCGCATTATATATTTTAATCGAAACATTGGACCCACACTTGTAAATAGCCTCCATCAGGATGACTTAGTGCCGATAACATGTTTCTAAAATGTGGACCACTTTTTTCCCGTCTTTGCTATGATCGAAACAAGTGTGCCCACACTTGTATATCATTCGTGACCAACTCGTGTTATTCCGGGACAAGCCGAATAGCGACTCGTGCCCATCTCGTAGCCATTTTTGCGACCGGGTTCCGTCTTAGCGCAAACGGGCATAGCTAAAACAATTGTCAATTCATTGCGTAATGGTTCACATATATTTCCCCATATATTATATATATTTCAGATGCAATTTAAAGCACATCGGGACGTGCGGAATTATACAGTATGATTGAACACATTTAACTGTGTCTTGGGTATAATTTTAGATGCAAGACATATGAAAAATCAAAAATTATTTCCGAGGGATTCTTTGACGAAGTACTTGAAATCATACGCGCATTCTGATTGGTTTGTCGTATTTTCGCACATAACATTCATCGATAGGGGGACGAGTCTTCTTGCAGGTTACGGAAAGGGGCGAGTGGTGACGAATGACTTGTATATCGCCAGGCTTCAGTGATCGTTGGGCTGGCTTAGTGTTGATAATCAAAATTATAAATGTGGACCCACTTTTTTCCGTCATTGTATTTACACCAGGGCGGACCACACTTATTAATCGCGGATTTGACTTACTAATAACAATTTTCTAAAATGTAGACCACTTGTGTTTGCATACAGGGAGCAAATGTAAGACACATATTGCTCAATTGCTTTTGTTCAGGCCTATCAATTCGCGATTTAATCATCCAACTTTGAGTTAATTTTGTAATGGCAGAATTGAGGTAAACATTATGTGTTTTTATTTCTGAGCTATACCAACTGTGCGTCCAAATTCAGTTTTGCGCTGACAAGTCAACAGGGAACACAGGAAAATACATTGGAATCACACCGCGACCATGATTGCCGTAAGAGGCGACTAACGGGATCGGGTGGTCAGGCTCGCTGACTTGGTTGAAGCATGTCATCGGTCCCAATTGCGTGGATCGATGCTCAGGGTGTCAATCACTGGATTGTCTGACCCAGACCCGATTAATTAGAGACCGCCGTCATATAGCTGGAATATTGCTGAGTGCGGCGTTAAACAACAAACAATCAAACAAACAAACAAACAAACACACCGTGTCGGTCTAATCCATGTCACCAAATGACCCAACAGAAGCATTATAAAGGTAAAGCATTACAGAGCTAACGAAGCATCTACTCACTAATGGAGTCACAGGCTTTACTTTCAGGTCCCGAAGGAATATATTCGTCGGTGCACGAAGACTCGGGAGTGCCCGCCTTGCATGCTATACAGGAACTGTGCACTGAAACGTGAATCATTGATATTAGTGTATGTAAATTGTAAACTGCTATAATATGCTCCTCAACATTGTCAAAATATATTCTACAACTCATTTAGATATAACACTATGAACCTGTGGCTCACCTGGGTGGGTATTCAATAGATAAAAGCTAACAGTTTCTGTTAAAATCACAAGTTAATAGTGACCTATTTTGTGTACAGAACAGAAGTTTATTACTCATGAATCACGTATTGTGATATAGAGCATACAATATACATATTTATATTTACAGACGTGTATCAGTGTGCATAAACATAAAGTAATTACAAACATAGTATATACAGTAATTGAATTATTACTTAAAAAGTTGTAAACCATCCTTTAAGTATTTCGCCAGCTTTATAACAAGAGGTTTGTAGGAGCAAACCATAAGCTGGTTAATTTTTTCAATAGTGGGATACTTACAATAATAACTCGGGAGATATTTATTTCTTAATTCATGAAGTGATGGACATTGAAGAAGAAAGTGGAATTCGTCTCCAATATAACTGTTGCATAATGTACAGAATCTGTGATCTTTATTAACATTGAACCATCTTCCCTTTTCAATTGGTAATCTGTGATTAGCTGTTCTAAATTTGACTATCCACTTCGCTAAGTTGTATGGTAATGATAATAAATATTCCTCAAGGCGAGGCTTATCTTTGAACATTGTGTAGTATTTACCCTTGGAGGATAAAGTCGCAGATTCATTCCATTTTTGATAAAAGTTATCTAACAATATAGCTTTAGTATTTGCCTTGCCTTGTGTAACAACTAACGGGCAATATGGTAGCCTGCTTGGTGAGGACTGTGGTTCATGCAGGAGACCAAGGTTCCATGCAAAAAGGGGTCCAATACATGGAGGTAATTCTTAGTCTCATCTGTAGTAATATCGTTGCATCACTGTTTAAACAACGTACATTATTGCACAATGACAATGAGTTATTTTTCATTCACAACATGAACAACCTTCTTTAAAAGTATTTTGATACTGAAATACATTTACGTGTTTCTATATTTGTTGGAATTTTTCAAACTTGTCTCATTAGGAAGAGTTCACATCCGTTATGAGAAGATTTTGCCAAGTGTATTCGTGTCTATTCACGACACTGAGAGGCCAAGGGTCTATAGTACATGTTATATTGTAATGTGTGTACAGTAAACTACGGTTATAACGAACACGCTTATAACGAACTGACGGATATAACGAACTTACTTTTTTGGTCCCGACTATTTTCTGTAGTTATGCTGTATATATGCTTATAACGAACTACGGTTATAACGAACTAAAATTAGTAGTCCCTTTGAGTTCGTTATACCCGTACTTTACTGTATTTGCGATTATTATAAAGTAAGATATTTGGAGCTTCGTAGATTCATATCATGCGCCATGGACATTGACAGTGTTTTCGTTAATACCGCATTGTTACCAAATTTGAAATGTAGTGATACCGAAACAGCACAGTAGAAGTTAAACAGTATGTATGATCACAGTTAAAATCTCAGCCTGGGCTCAAATCTCATGAGAGTGAATTTAAAGGGATTGATTTGAGTCTGCTACACTGGCCCATGTCATTAACATAGCCATCCCAAATATGTCATGCGGCCTTACGTTGTCGTTATCATGGCGTCGTTATGACGCCTCCAGACCCGACCACGCCTATATATAATGAAAACATTACACGAGGCCATCAGCGAATCCCCTAGTTTTAACACTCTAAACACCAGTCAGGCTAGAATATGTCGATTGGTTAACGTTGGGTACAACACGTGGTCACCGAACATGCAGATTAGCTGAATGCAGATATTGCAGTAACTTGAGTGAGTGAGTTGGGTTTAACGCCGCTTTTAACAGTATTCCAGTTATATCACGGCGTTTCAGCTTAATATGGGAGAAAAGCCCGAAGTGATGCAGGTCTCAGACGTTTACCACTTCGGTGAAACCCACGAGCATGGGTATGGTGATGACAAACCTAGAAACATAATCGGGGCGAACCGGGATTCGAACCCACAATCATAGGTTTCTGGCGTGCCCAAGGGACGCAACTCTGCACAGCGAATCGCGGCGCCTCAGACGACTGGGCCACCCGTGCCCCCTGCAGTAACTTGAACACCCGTGGCCTGGTGTAAATGAACAGCGATTTGATTGGCCATTTGTGGTTGATTTCTTAAAGCCTGATTTCTTATTATCTATCCTGGAATTATGTTTTTGACATAGGGCGCCCTGCGCGGGGCCGATTAATTAACATTTTGTGTCTGCAGAATACTGTTCGTAGTCAAAGAAGTCACAGACTAAGACACATTCGACATATTGGCTACCACAATCCAGTTATCAGTTTGAAATATGCAAATGGCCATCAGGCGTTCATCGCGCGGTTGAGGACCCAATCTGATAAGACTGCAATGTTTTTGGTGTGTCTGGGCGTTAGGTTTTTGGTCCCGAAACTATTTCTCGCAGTCATTTTTTCAAAGCTAACCTTTTTTTTGACGACCGATCATAACGTTTATATTTCACTATCATTACCGTGTTGGAGATCATATTACCAGGTTGAGTCAGCCTTTAAGGAAGGCACGTGTATGTGTTTGAGAGCGCAAGATATGCACACCTGCAATTTCTACCAATAGGCTTCAGACAATTAATGTATGTAGGAAGTGTCATTCGCGTTCTCAAGGATCACATTATTACCTAAGGGGCGGTCAGGTAGCCTAGTGGTTAAAGCGTTCGCTCGTAACGCCGAGGGCCCGGGTTCGATTCCCGACATGGGTACAATGTGTGAAGCCCATTTCTGGTGTCCCCCGCCGTGATATTGCTGGAATATTGCTAAAAGCGGCGTAAAACCAAACTCACTCATTAACACCTGTAGTAAATAATGACCGCCCAAGGCTAATGCTTTCTTCAAAACACGATATATATCGTATGACGCGGCCAGGGGAATCGAATCATCTTCATTCCGCTGTCGTTTGACAAACTAGGGGTAACTTGGGCTCCGCGCTCTGAGCAGACACTCTGTCCACTAGACCGCGGAGGGGGTTAGAGGTATGAATGAGGAGACAGAATGACTGAGGAGGAGAAGTGTACATATAACTCCGCAGATAATGACTTGGGTGTACATACACACTTGAAACTGTGAGTGAGTGAGTGAGTGAGTGAGTGAGTGAGTGAGTGAGTGAGTGAGTGAGTGAGTGAGTGAGTGAGTGAGTGAGTGAGTGAGTGAGTGAGTGAGTGAGTGAGTGAGTGAGTGAGTGAGTGAGTGAGTGAGTGAGTGAGTGAGTGAGTGAGTGAGTGAGTGAGTGAGTGAGTGAGTGAGTGAGTGAGTGAGTGAGTGAGTGAGTGAGTGAGTGAGTGAGTGAGTGAGTGAGTGAGTGAGTGAGTGAGTGAGTGAGTGAGTGAGTGAGTGAGTGAGTGAGTGAGTGAGTGAGTGAGTGAGTGAGTGAGTGAGTGAGTGAGTGAGTGAGTGAGTGAGTGAGTGAGTGAGTGAGTGAGTGAGTGAGTGAGTGAGTATTTCTTTACGCTACTTTTAGCAATATTCCAGCAATATCACGACGGGGGACACCAGAAATGGGCTTCACACATTGTACCAATGTCGGGAATCGAACCCGGGTCTTCGGTGTGACGAGCAAACGCTTTAACCACTAGGCTACCCGACCGCACCCTTGAGACTGTGGACAACATGTCATACGACAAACACCGTCACCATTTGATAAATTCTATAATGATGTGGCTAACATATCTTATCATACCTGTCTTACACAGTCCAGCAACACAGAACAGAATCAGAAGGGTCTTCATGTTGGGCCGCCAAGCAACCTGTGTTCAGTTCTTCGTTGATGCGTGGATCGTTTGATCGTTGAACGTTGAACGTTTATTTATGAACAGACAGATAACGGCAAATGTTTCGCAATAGCTTGATAAGTGTGGTGTTCGCCATGATACCGAGCACGTGGCATGCTATCCAATATCATGGTAACATGAATAAATTAACCTTGACAAGCAACAGAGATAGCCATTGTACTTTGAAACAGTGAAACGTATATTAGACAATGGTTAAGGAAAGCTGTATGGGTGTGTTGTTTACATAGTTCTAATACTGATTGGTAGCGTCATCTTGTGTACATCATCATACATTTTGGAATCATATCTGAAACAGATGTATATTTCTTCACTGGAGATAGTGTATGTGTCAAGTGCTTGCATATATATGGACAGTATATATTCATGACCATATCGAGATTTGTAACGTACACCTAGAAGAGAGTATATAGCCTATTGGGCTAACAAGAATAGTGAGTCAGTGAGTGAGTTTTACTCCGCTTTCAGGAATAATCCAGCAATATCACGGCGGGGGACACCAGAAATGGGCTTTGCATATTGTACCCGTGTAGGAAATCGAACCTAGGTTATCGGCGTGACGAGCGAACGGTTTAACTACCGCTTTAACCGCCGCCCGCTGCCAATAATATGTTTCATGTAAAGAAGAAAACATCACGTTCCGACCTTCAATCTCTTATTAATGTTATTTTATTAATGCAGTACCCTTGAAGATCCGGGCTAGAGTTGGCCGTCAGCAACACATGCTTGTCTTAAGAAGCGACTGTGCTTGTCGTAACAGTTTATATGTAAACACGCGAAAATGAAACTACATGATCACGTGGAGAAACGTGATAAACCTGAGTATTTGCTACAAGGGGTAGTCCACCCGTGAAGAACCGGGGTAGAATAGGTCTTCAGCAACCTATGCTTGCCGTAAAAGGCGACTATGCTTGTCGTAAGAGGCGAGTAACAGGATCGGGTGGTCAGGCTCGCTTGCATGGTTGATGCATGTCATCGATCTCAATTGCATAGATCGATGCTCATGTTGTCAATCACTGGATTGTCTGGTCCAGATTCGAATATTTACAGATCGTCGTCATATAGCTGGAATATTGCTGAGTGCGGCGTTATACAACAAACAAACAAACATCACGGGGTAGTCAAAACGTCCCAGGTTCATGTTACCAGATTACCATAAGCGTAGAGTGAGTGAGTGAGTTGGGTTTAACGTCGCTTTTAACATTATTCCAGTTATATCGCGGCGTGTCAGCTTAATGTGGGAGGAAAGCCCGAAGTGATGCAGGTCTTAGACGTTTACCACTTCGGTGAAACCCACGAGCACGGGTATGGTGCTGACAAACCTAAAAACATAATTGGGGCGAACCGGGACTCGAACCCACAATCATAGGTTTTTGGCGTGCCCAAGGGACGCAACTCTGCACAGCGAATCGCGGCGCCTCCGACGTAGAAGTGTAAGGACTCTGACATTCACAGATAGGCAAGAACAATCCTCCAGATGGTGATGTGACATGACAATTCAATCACTCCTTCAGGATATGTCCCGTGTTCAAGTTCACGTTGTCTTAATTACGCCATTTCAGAAATGAAAAAAAAGACAAATCATGTGTTTCATTTAATTACGGGTTTCAAATTGTGAATTCAACCGTTTTTATTAAAATTGAAAAATGAACTGTCGTGTTTTATCTTCGTGTAGATCGCAATCTTCTTTTTGACGTCATCTCAGCTCTCAGTTTAACTATCGTTGACGTTCTTGTAAAAATAAATATTTTACGTCACTGAAACTGCTGTACCAATTATACGATATTTTTTCTTGTATGTTTAACACTGTGACATAGTTTTCTAATGCTAAAGATGGTTATATTGATGCCGTGCGCACCAAACAGACCTCATTAAACAGCCAATTGGTTTCGTAAAAGTCAAACCTTCTCTGATTAGAGGACCGCCTTGGTGGTCTAGTGGATAGATCATCTCCCCGGAGAGAGGAAGGTCGATGGGTCGATCTCCTGCCCGCGTCATATCAAAAGACGTTAAAAGATGGTACTTGTTGTTACCCTGCCTGGCATTAAGGGGAGAAAGCATGGAATGGCTGGCTTGGTGTCAGAATCCTGTGTCTGAGTTGGGTATTCATCTTTAACTTCGGCATGCATATGGTATCTCAGTGGTCTAGCAGGATCAAGTGCATATCATAGGATCGTGCATTATGTGCCATCACAAAAATGCGGTCCTCCTTCTGGACTGTAGTGGTGGGGTGTTCTTGTTCTTTGTCTTCTTTGTCTACTCCTTCCCCTTTTCCTCCTCCAACGGGTTGGGCGCGTCCACTTCCATGCCATCCACCCCTTCCACCTCCGCCTCCGCCTCCTCCTCCTGTGGTGATGAATGTCGTTGACGTTTTGAAGAGTGCCTTTTTAAGGGGTTGCACCACGTTTTCTTTTCCCAAGGCATGCTGTTGTCCCCTTGCGTGCTGTTGCCCCCTTGCGTGTGCTGTCCTCTTCCTCTTGGTTCTTCTTCTTGGGTTTTTCGGCCAGCGTTGTCAACCACACACACACATCATGTCGCGTGGTGGGGACTCGAAACACGATCTCACGGCTGGGACCATGACCTTCTTCTCTCCATGGACAGTGTTCACACAACAAGTGATCGACTTCTTCCCCAAAACGCCCCTTTTCAGGGCCACCCATCTCACTCGAAAGAACGCTTTTCATCCTCATGCTTTGACGACCCTCAAACCCAAACAAAGAACCCGACTCCCCTTCCCCTCCTCCCTCCCTCCCTCCTCCCTCCCTCCCTCCTCCTCCTCCTCCAGACCCACAATGCCCTGCGCAAACCGAAACTGGAAGTGACGTCATCAGAGGTCACGTGACCAAACCGACCAATCAGAAGCCAGGAGCGGTTCCATAACGGGGCCCTCAACTACTGGTATATTATACACAGGGACATGGAATGTCGTTTTTGAAAGACAGGTCTCGTTATAGCTCAAATGAACGGATGTCGCGCGAGCCATTTCCTTAATGTAAACAAATCAAGTGTACATTTGAATTTATCATCCAACATAGCCCTGTAAGTAACAACATCAATTTATATATCACATTTCTGCTATCTGTATACACTGAGGTATGGAACTGACAATCTACATTTTTCCGCATTTTGTAAACAAACGCATATTGTCAAAAATAATTTAAATATTCGGGATTTTATTGATCGAAGAAGCCATATCCTGACGCGCATTCTGATTGGTTTGCGCCTTCGAGAGGGGGACGAGCCTCGTTGTAGGTTACGGAAACATGCGAGTGATGACGAATAGCTCTACCTTCTTACACGTCCGCATTCGTCACCACTCGCCCCTTTCCGTAACCTGTAAGAAGACTCGTCCCCCTATCGATGAATGTTATATGCGAAAATACGACAAACCAATCAGAATGCGCGTATGATTTCAAGTTCTTCGTCAAAGAATCTCTCAGAAATAATTTTTGATTTTACATTTGTCTTGCATCTAAAAATATATCCAAGACACAGTTAAATGTGTTCAATCATACTGTATAATTCCGCACGTCCCGAAGTGCTTTAAATTGCATCTGAAACATATATAATATATGGGGAAAATGTGTGAACCATTACGCAACGAGTTGACAATTGTTTTTGGTATGCCTGTTTGCGCTAAGACTGAACCCGGTCGCAAAAAAATAGCCACGAGAGGGGCACGCGTGCACATCGGCTTGTCCCGGAATAACACGAGTTGGTCACGAATGACACGTCCGATACCTGACACACACCTTTCACAATCCAAGCCTGCTCTGGTACAGAGAGCGTGTTTTGTTTGTAACGTCGCCCCAACTAACATGGCGAACATTCAGCTATATATCTTCCAAGGAAGCCCGCCATGTCATGCTGTCATGTTGACCGCCAAGGCTCTTGGTGTACCTCTCGAGTTAAAACAACTCGACTTCATGACCAAAGAACAGCTCAGCCCAGAGTTTACACAGGTGAGATCCCCACAGTCACCAGGGTTAGAACAGGCCCCCTGCTCCATTCGTCACCACTCGCCCCTTTCCGTAACCTGCAAGAAGACTCGTCCCCCTATCGATGAATGTTATGTGCGAAAATACGACAAACCAATCAGAATGCGCGTATGATTTCAAGTACTTCGTCAAAGAATCCCTCGGAAATAATTTTTGATTTTTCATATGTCTTGCATCTAAAATTATACCCAAGACACAGTTAAATGTGTTCAATCATACTGTATAATTCCGCACCTCGCGATGTGCTTTAAATTGCATCTGAAATATATATAATATATGGGGAAATATATGTGAACCACTACGCAATGAATTGACAATTGTTTTAGCTATGCCCGTTTGCGCTAAGACGGAACCCGGTCAAAAAAATGGCTACGAGATGGTCACGAGTCGCTATTCGGCTTGTCCCGGAATAACACGAGTTGGTCACGAATGCCCCTGCTCCCCAGTGTTGGTCGTATGATGAAACTAACTCACACGGGGCGCTCACGTCCTCAGTCAAATTATCAATCCTTGCTGCTAACAGTTTGGGAACTCATTCATGTCATACAGTTCCTGAAGACATGCCCCTTTCCGTGCACTGTCACTCCGTTGGGAGTCGGGGAAGAATGTGTTCCAGTATTCCAAACTTGTGTAAGGAGCAGACTAATGAGGACCAAGTAGCCAGATGTCATGCCCCCATGTCGTGAATAGTTGCTCATGTTTTCAGTCGCTGGTTTCTCGGGTCACGGCCGTGGTACAGCTTAAATGTACCAGAAAGACGAGTGTAGATGAATCTAATACTATCAGAATATAGTGTGAGACAACGCTGCTAAATTACGTAACTGTAATTGCTTATTTAAGAAGCTTCTGTTAAATATGCATCAATAGAATCGATGCCAACTACAAACACGCCCAACGACCCATCACTACCGCGCCTTCCTCAAATTAAATACATTTTGCTCACAACTTCAAATATGTTGTGACAAATGCAGTGTTTCGAATTATATTCGTATCATAAATGTAAATTAGTGTCATTCACATGCAACCTCATGTGATCATTCACGCATGTACATTAGAAATACTCAATTGAGAAAATGTATAATTGTTTTCTGTTGCCATGGGAATAAGGTCATGTCTGTAATTTGATCAGTCTTTCAACAGCAGTTATCATGGACAGCTGGCTTTCTTCAAATATTTTCAATATTACAGTGTACTTGTGTAGGGGTCTTGGACTAACCCAGGAAACTAGAATATGAATGAGTGATAGATCCCGTGTTTGGTGATAAATCATTGTATTGGTAACTTCAAAACTTTCAATTTTCTATGTAAAGAGCTTCGTCAAACGTTGCTGTGACTCGATGTGTGGGTATCTATAGAGATGATGCAATAATGTGATATTTGTGACATCCACCACACAAGCAAACATTCCTGTTCACACTACATAACTTGCGACCCGTGAAGATTCCGGAGAAAAATAGGTCTCCAGCAACCCATGCTTGCCGTAAAAGGCGACTATGCTTGTCGTAAAATGCGACTAACGGGACCGGGTGGTCAGGCTCGCTGACTTGGTTGATGCATGTCATTGATCCCAATTGCGTGGATCGATGCTCATGATATTAATCACTGGATTGTCTGGTCCAGACTCGATTATTTACACACCGCCGTCATATAGCTGGAATATTGCTGAGTGCGGCGTTAAACAACAAACCAACCAACCAACCAACATAACTTTCATAGCAAGTAATTTTCTTATGAGCAAATATACTTTGACATGACCTCTCAGTAAACTTCCCCGTGTGTATAATTACTCACATGAGTAAAAGTCTTCATGTGAATACGGCTTATGATATACGTATCAAAGCAACTATGTAAAAACCAATGAAACCTGGGTAGCTTGAACTCCATTACTATAGATACGGATGTAGACAATGTTCATAATGACCCCGGTACACCTATTGGCTTAACACCCTACTGACGGCACACTGACATGTACAGCCTCTAACTATTGATAACACGTTTGACCCACGACCCACGCCCGTTCTTCGAATTGACACTCTACGTTCCACTGTAATTCGAAATCATCCTACCAACAATATAATTATTTGCAAGAAGTTGGAAATACATGCGACTCTGTGTGTCGACTGTAATTATAAATTTGATCGGCATTTTATAGATCTTTGAACATAATTTTATTACAGGATGTATTTCAGGGTAATACGATGTCACATATATAGAGCGCGTTGCGATAGCAAAGTCGAGTACTGCTGAGTAACAGGCCTACAACCTTGGTAAATAGCCTGAGATAAGCGAGTTTCAGTATAAAGAACCGAGGCCGTCCAGTTGGGTCGGGGTGACATTCGTTTTGTACATGGAACCAGCTCGCATAAGCCGATGTAAAAATAGAGAAGAAGAATAATATTTTATTATAGTGTCACCCGCTGTACATATAAAATGACAAGGCAAGAATGTAAAAATTCAGCGGCCGGCCAAAATGGCCTACGAGACACTAAAAGACTCATAGAAACAATATTATATATGTGTACACACCACATTTAATAGTAAAAATAGATAACGGGTTCAATATATATCACCATACTGACGTTCTACAGCCCCTTTATCAGCAATAGGTGGACTTGCGACACATGTCCTTCACTTCCCTCCATGTCAGAATGTTGGGATCCTATTGGTACACGTGATCATGAGAAAATACCGTCTATCTCGCCTGGGAGAGAATAAACCCCTTAATATTATATCCCGTTACGAAGCAAGAAGCCTCACGTTGTTTAAGAGTCAATGAAAGTGACGTGAAACAGCCCAAAATAACATCCGCTCAATCGAACAGCTGTTTTCTATCAATTTTCAATTTGTTATAATTATTTTACAATGTCAGATTGAAACATGGTAAGATACATCCGTTTAACAAGTATAACAAGTAAAACCACATAATTATACCCCGGGGCGGTCGGGTAGCCTTGTGGTTAAAGCGTTCGCTCGTCGCGCCGTAAACCAAGATTCGATTCCCGACATAGGTACAATGTGTGAAACCCATTTCTGGTTTCCCCGGTGTATTTTTGCTGGAATATTGCTAAAAGTGGCGTAAAACCATACTCACTCTCCCTCGTAATACTGGTACAGCCTATATTGCTATTTTACATAGTTTTTGACCACGTTTGTGATCTATCATGTATAATTTATTTTACACTCAATAAATGCATGCGAGTAGATGCATCTAACTCAGCATTAGTAACAGGAAAAATGAGAGCCCCTGTTATCAACGGCAGTAATAACCATTCATGTCACACCGCACAGTAACTTTCACATTATGCATGGGTTAAATTTTATCTGGGAGAGTGTTGCCACAACGAAAATATGCTGGGACTGAGATCGGCGGGTCATGAACTCTACTTCAGTAGTGGGTTTTCACAGGATATTGTGACATGGCAACGAGATTCTATTCAACAATAAGCGGACTTCGAGCGAGCAGGTGATGTTTATGCCGCAATAGATACGGCAACTTGTAAATACTGCTCTCCTCTCCAGGCAAACCAGAGGATGACAGCATGAGCACGCCGTAGGCGTAATGACGACACACAAGCCACAAGGGCTAGAATAAGTATTCAGCAACCCTTGCTTGCCGTAAAAGGCGACTATACTTGCCCATGATGTCAATCACTGGATTGCTTGGTCCAGACTCGATTATTTACAGTTGGAAATATTGCTGAGTGTGGCATTAAACAACAGACGAACAAACACAATCTACAAAACTCCAGGTCATTTATTGTCACCATCTAGTCGTCAGTTTAGTTTGAATCGAGCATGATGACACACATAGTAGGCCAGTTTCATTTATTGTCACCATCTAATCGTCAGTTTAGTTTGAATCGAGCATGATGACACACATAGTAGGCCAGGTCATTTATTGTCACCATCTAGTCGTCAGTTTAGTTCGAATCGAGCATGATGACACACATAGTAGGCCAGTTCATTTATTGTCACCATCTAGTCGCCAGTTTAGTTTGAATCGAGCATGATGACACACATAGTAGGCGAGTTTCATTTATTGTCACCATCTAGTCGTCAGTTTAGTTTGAATCGAGCATGATGATACACATAGTAGGCCAGTTTATTTATTGTCACCATCTAGTCGTCAGTTTAGTTCGAATCGAGCATGATGACACACATAGTAGGCGAGTTTCATTTATTGTCACCATCTAGTCGTCAGTTTAGTTTGAATCGAGCATGATGACACACATAGTAGGCGAGTTTCATTTATTGTCACCATCTAGTCGTCAGTTTAGTTTGAATCGAGCATGATGACACACATAGTAGGCCAGTTCATTTATTGTCACCATCTAGTCGTCAGTTTAGTTCGAATCGAGCATGATGACACACATAGTAGGCCAGTTCATTTATTGTCACCATCTAGTCGTCGGTATAGTTTGAATCGATCATGATGACACACATAGTAGGCCAGTTCATTTATTGTCACCATCTAGTCGTCAGTTTAGTTTGAATCGAGCATGATGACACACATAGTAGGCCAGTCCATTTATTGTCACCATCTAGTCGTCAGTTTAGTTTGAATCGAGCGTGATGACACACATAGTAGGCCAGTTCATTTATTGTCACCATCTAGTCGTCAGTTTAGTTTGAATCGAGCGTGATGACACACAAAGTAGGCCAGTTTATTTATTGTCACCATCTAGTCGTCAGTTTAGTTCGAATCGAGCATGATGACACACATAGTAGGCGAGTTTCATTTATTGTCACCATCTAGTCGTCAGTTTAGTTTGAATCGAGCGTGATGACACACAAAGTAGGCCAGTTTATTTATTGTCACCATCTAGTCGACAGTTTAGTTTGAATCGAGCATGATGACACACATAGTAGGCCAGTTCATTTATTGTCACCATCTAGTCGTCAGTTTAGTTTGAATCGAGCATGATGACACACATAGTAGGCCAGTTTCATTTATTGTCACCATCTAGTCGTCAGTTTAGTTTGAATCGAGCATGATGACACACATAGTAGGCCAGTTCATTTATTGTCACCATCTAGTCGTCAGTTAAGTTCGAATCGAGCATGATGACACACATAGTAGGCCAGGTCATTTATTGTCACCATCTAGTCGTCAGTTTAGTTTGAATCGAGCATGATGACACACATAGTAGGCGAGTTTCATTTATTGTTACCATCTAGTCGTCAGTTTAGTTTGAATCGAGCATGATGACACACATAGTAGGCGAGTTTCATTTATTGTCACCATCTAGTCGTCAGTTTAGTTTGCTCTTACAACATGTATGGCTAGCTTGGGACCTCTTCTGACTGGATTCCTTACTGGGTCGATATTCATTCCTCCGATACCATGTGTCCAACTCTCTTATACCATATGTCCAGCAGTTCATTTCCACATTCCTTTACATTGTTAATGGCATAATATGGGTGAGTGAAACGCTGCTTTAACGTCATTTCAGTTAAATCAAAGCGTTTCAGATTGTGTGTCCGGTGTGTGTGTGTCCGGTGTGTGTGTGTGTGTTTGTGTGTGTGTGCGTGTGCGTGTGCGTGTGTGTGTGTGCGTGTGTGCGTGCGCGTGTGCGTGCGCGTGTGCGTGCGTTTGTGTGTGTGTGTGTGCGTGCGTGTGCGTTTGTGTGTGTGTGTGTGCGTGTGCGTGTGTGCGCGTGCGTGTGCGTGCGCGTGTGCGTGCGTTTGTGTGTGTGTGTGTGTGTGCGTGCGCGCGTGTGTGTGTGTGTGTGCGTGTGCGTGTGTGTGTGTGTGTGTGTGTGTGTCGGGGGTTTCATTTTTGGTTTGATTGCCAGTTGATTCTACTTTTGGATTGTAACAGATTCGAGTGACTTCTCTGATTAAACCATCTTTTGGTTGATGTATGTATTCTCTATAATTTTGCATCATTTTTGGTTTGATGGCCAGTTGATTCTACATTTGGATTGTAACAGATTCGAGTGACTTCTCTGATTAAACCATCTTATGGTTGATGTATGTATTCTCTATAATTTTGCATAATGAGCTAAAGTTGCTTTTGTTTTCCTATTTGAAATAGTCGCCCACTATGGCCGGTGTATTTCTGGCTCAGAATCAAATGCAAGAGTAATAGTGTGACGTCACCGTAATGGTTTAATGTTTAAAACGGCGTTAAGCCCAATTCATTCACTCACTCAAGTTGTTTATGAACGTCTATTGTGACATTTCAGATAAACCCGGATCATACCGTCCCAACTATTATAGATGGAGACTTCATACTGTGGGAGAGGTAAGGTCACACAGCTGTAGTACATTGACACCGTCCAGGCAAAGTAGATTTGTCGTTCATCCATCTCCTGTAACAATTATACACTGATTAAAATGGATTTTAGGAACAAACGCAATGAATTTGAATGACTGGAGCACTCAGTCTCACCTTATACAGATTTAACGACCACTAAAACACATATTTACATCCTACCACTGGAACTTATTCTTCAATTGATCTGTTACATAGAAATGTAAATGGTAACCATGTAATCCATCATGATTAAATACCGTTGGAGTCAATTAACCTTCCTAATCCAATTATGATCTTGATTTTCTGAAAATATTTTCAATTTATGAATTAACAATTAACATTCGGTTTTTCACAGAGATATCTTATGAATATGGAAAGAGTTTTGTCGCTGTTATTTATTATCATCATCACTTACCTGAATCATATTTGGAAACTATTTCTAACGTTGTTGATGACATAATGTCATCGTTATCCCTTTACCAAATCCTGTCCGTGATCATGATCATGTGATTACTGTCAAATGTCAGTTACAAGCCACGTGGTTGATGCATGTCATTGTATCCCTTGTGCGAAGATCGATGCTCATGATGTCCGTCACAGGATTATCTGGTCCAGAATCGGTTATTTACAGATGGTCATGAAGCTGGAATATTACTCATGGCGGCATTTAACGACAAACACGAGCTGAGTTTTTAAAATCATGGAATGCATGGTCATAAGTGGACTAGATTGGTACATGGAATGGTATAATCCACACAACCTCTGTGTGCAGCAGGGCACAATAGAGTATCTTTATAGATATGCCAATCATATATAATGCCTGTTAACTGGACCTCCACGGCACCCAAGTCTATATGCTCCATGTACTTCTCCACCTCCACAACCCCCCAACTGGATCTCAGTGATATGTTTCATATCACTTACCAGGTGTGCTTGTACAAGCCTGGAATGTATGGGTCTTTATCGATTAGCTAGGTACTTGGAAAGCAATAATCTAAGTAGTAACTCGGAGTACCTGTATATGCCAGTCATGTCATGGACTCCATTAACTTACTGGACATCCACGGAACCCTTTTTTCTCTACTCCATGTTGTCCTTGCACATATATACCAGGAACACTGTTACACATTCTGTCCCCGGCCCTGTCTCACAAATAGATCTACTATTCATTTTAAATAAAAGCAACAAAACCCTTTCCATAATCATAAGAAATCTCTGTTAAATTCTCGATTCGATTGTACGATTCCAAATGTATCACAAGCATAATTAAGTTTTCGCGAAAACGTGAGCGTCCCCTGCTCTACCAGTGGCACCCGTGACAAACACATGCAAAGACAAATCAATTCTTCACCTGAATGCCTACTTCTTGCTCAAACGTTCTCTATCCAAAATGTTACATAGATGTTTACCAACATTTCTCACAGTTTTTTTTCCTGACGACATTTACTTTAAATTTCAACATATTGTCCTGAACCTTTGAAGACCTTTGAACCTTTGATTTACACCTATATCTTTGATCACTACGTTTGGTGACAAATGCCCCAGAATGGTTATATTCCAATTGGGTGTCCTCTTTCTCAGTTAATGCATTCTACAATTGACGACTTTCTTAACTCGCCGTGAAAGACATTCAACAGGTTCATATTGTGTGTTGACCTATTTTTGGCACACTCATCGACAGCATCCATAATGATTTTAAATTTGTGATCCCAGTTAGTAGCAGGCTGTTCACTCGATGTTGGTCCATATTGTTATTGCCAACAATAGAGAAATCACATGTGATCATATGACCAGTTTGAAGCAGTATGGCGAGACTTGTCAGCCAAATGTTCTTGAATTTATATCACGAGGCACGTCTGTGAGTCCACATTCTGCAACACGTTCCTATAATTAAACAACTTGGAGGAAATTGTGTTCGTAAAGGAACTGTGGGTTGTTCATGAAATATGAAATATGAAATATTAGGGAAACTGTTTTTTTACTCAGAAATGTATAGCATCAATTCATGTGTCTTTAGTTTACCAGTAGATTTTCATTCAGTACTATACGCATTGTACAATGTATGGTATTGTAACTCTCACCATTTGGCTCTATTGTATCCACAGTCGCGCCATCATGCGCTACCTGGTGGGGAAGTATGGGGGTGAGGACAACAGCCTGTACCCCCGGGGCCTCCAGAAGAGGGCAGAGGTGGACCGACTCCTGGACTATGATCTGGGGGTCTTCTACAGAACCTTGTTGGAGAATGTTGTAAGTACGCATGAAGTGTTGCATTTTTGTTGTTAAATCAACTGTAGTTCTTTAATCTGTCATCAACAAGATTTGTATTGCCTGGTCGATCCAGCCAGGGTTCCAGATAAGAAAAGCTTCTGAGTACCTCATGCAATTGAATTCTGTAACTTTAGGTAATAGCAGCCCAACATGCAAACAGTCCTCTGTCAAGTAGTGGGAAACACATATATTTGGATGTAAGTGTACAATGAGTAATCAATTTGCGATCTAGCTTTGGAAATAATCCGTAGCTTTGCATCTATAAATGACCGACAATTTTGGCAGTGATTTCTACTTTTCACAGGTATTTCTTATGAATATGGAAATTGTTTTGTGGCTTTTTATTTATTGGAGAAGTGGACATAGTGGAATGGTGGAGAAGTGGAATAAACATACACCGAGTGCAATTCTAGAAAATCCTCATTGACTCGTGACAACAGCATATGCGTACTCTTTCTATTTCAGTGGCGGCCAGCAAGAGACAGAACTGAGAAGACAAAAGAACAAGAGGAGCAGATCGTCAAGGCTTTAGCGCGGATTGATACTCTGGTTAAGGATAAGAAGTACCTCACCGGAAATGACATCACCATTGCTGACTTTGCGATGGTAGTTGGGTTTGCAATCGAATTTGTCTATCGAGGGGATAAGACAAAGTACCCTAATGCCATGACTTGGTACAAACGAATGCAGGAATTACCGTACTTCAAAGAAGTGAATCAGTCATTTTTTGACTTAGTGGAACAATTTAAGATTGGACAAGATGAAAAGTCGTAAAACATTGAAGAAACACCTGGCGTCATAATTATCGCCCATGTCTTGCGTTTGACGCCCAATTTTTATCTGTTTTTGGAGACTTGTTATTCTCTGGCGTTGACGTTTTATATTTTGCAAATCAACAGTAATATTCGGGGTACATATTGGATGTCAAGCAAACGCGTCTCTTAGTATATATTCCCTTTATCTAATCAGTATATATTTCACAAACTTTCTGGAAAAATATTTTCAAGACGCCCATAAAAATACGCCTTTATATCATACATACACCTGTAAAAGGTTAATTACAGCTTACTATTAAACATAAAAAAGGCATTTAAAAAACATATTACTTTTATTAAAAATAACCCAATGATCATATTGAAATACAGAAACCAAAATGAATTATCTAATGTATAGTACACTGGTGCATGGCAATAGTCTTTTATCGTTCCGAACCGCCTCCATGGTCTAGTGGTAGAGCGTCCGCCCGGAGAACGAAATGTCCGGGGTTCGATACCAAAAGACATTAGATTATAAAAGATGGTACTTGTTGTAACCCTGACTGGCGCTCGCCATTAAGGGGCTAAAACAACGACTGGTCGGCTCAGAATCAGTATTCTGTGTCTGAGTGGGGCATTTATGTTATGGTAACACAGTAGGCTGGCACTTTAAATCGGCACACACACACACACACACACACACACACACACACGCACGCACGCACGCACGCACGCACGCACGCACGCACACGCACACGCACACACACACAATCACACACGACGTTAAACCCCATTTCACTTCACCTCACCCTTATCTTTCTGTCATATAATATTCGCGTTCAAGTGTTTTTTCAGGCGACCATTTTACATGTCTTTGCATGTTTTTGTGACTAACAGTAAGGTTTATGTGTATCACGGATATTTATCATAATGATGTCAATATGTATATACAATCATTTCTTCAATTTATGAAACAATAAATGATGACAACGACATAGATTAAAAGCTTTATGATTGTTTGTCTTCTTTGTGGCTTATGTTTAGAGGGACCCACGCTTGAGTTACACCGGTTCAATGATGTTCCGCACGTGTCCAATGGGTTGCTGGTCGTTGATGGTACTGATTAAATTGTAAAACATGGGAAAGATATGGGCTGAATAGTTGCTCATGTTTTCAGTCTCTGGTTTCGCGGGCCAAGGCCTTGGTACAGCTGAATGTTACTGCGGCGGTAAACAACATTACTTTTCTCACTACAGCCACAAAGACGAGTGTAAATTAATCTAATACTATCAGAATATATTGTGAGACAAGGCTGCTACCTAACTGTAATTGTTTATTTAAGGCACCCCATGCTTCATGTCCCGCAGGATTATCTGGTCCAGAATCGGTTATTTACAGATGGTCATGAAGCTGGAATATTGCTCATGGCGGCATTTAACGACAAACACGAGCTGTGTTTGTAAATCATGGAATGCATGGTCATAAGTCGATTAGATTGGTTCAGTACTATACACATTTTATTATGTATGGTATTGTAACTCTAATCATTGGGTGACCCGTGAAGATCCGGGGTAGAATAGGTCTTCAGCAACCCATGCTTGCCGTAAAAGGCGACTATGCTTTTCGTAATAGGCGACTAGCGGGATCGGGTGGTCAGGCTCGCTGACTTGGTTGATGCATCTCATCGATCCCAATTGCGTGGATCGATGCTCATGATGTCAATCACTGGATTGTCTGGTCCAGACTCGATTATCTACAGACCGTCGTCATATAGCTGGAATATTGCTAGTTCGGCGTTAAACAAACAACATCATTTGGTTCTATTGTACCCACAGCCGCGCCATCATGATGACTGAGGTAACTCGCTCTGAAAGACATTCAACAGGTTCGTAGTGACCTATTTTTGGCATACTCAACGACACCATCCATAATGATTATAAATTATATATTCTGTAACTTGAGATAATAGCAGCCCAACATGCAAACGGTCCTCTGTCAAGTAGTGGGAAGCACATTTATTTTGATGTAAGTGTACAATGAGTAATGAAATTACGATCTAGCTTTGAACAATAAAGAATCAGTATGTCATGAAGCACACTGTGGGAGAGGTAAGGTCACGCATATGTACATCGCCACTGACAAGTAGATTGTGACAATTTATCCACTGAATGAAATGGATTTTAGGACCAACCGTAACGAATTACAATAATTACACCACTCAGTCTACCTGCACATTTAACGATGACTCAAATACATATATGTACATACTGCCACTGGAACGTTATCTTTATTTTATCTGTCACATGGGGATATAAATGGTTACAATGTGAGCAAATTTTAATGGTCAGTCTAAAATGACCGTTGTAGATTTATTGTGAACCTTACTGACGGTCTATCTGCTTCAAGGGCGAAATTCATAAAAGCTACTTGTCGTTTACTTAAAGTTTAAATTGCTGCTCTTGATGTGGTTGATTAAAATTTGATACTATGAACAATAGCCGTCTCTTAATATTTATGCGTGACGCTGAGGTCAAACTCCAAAACGAGGCTATCCCCGCAAGCTGTCAAAATGGCATCGGAGCGAATATCGCTTATCAACTATTGATTTTATTGCAGCTAACATGACGTTTCAGTGCGAAATACTCATGCTTTTTCTGAATACAATATTGATTTCTATTCTCGTCACATTAATACTACATACTGTCATATATAATTCATATATATATCCAGGGTGTCGTTGTACAAAGCGATATTAGCGTGTCGGTGTCCCACACCTTAACATATAGACAGACCTACGGCAGTCTTAGGCCTAAGGTTGTTTTGTACAACGGCACCCGGGAACAAATATTTATACTAAATTAGGTCACATGATGATGACATATCGACTTTCAAACAATTACATTTATTCTGGTCAGAATATACGTATTTCTATTGGAAATGGACTACACATATAAAGCTAATATGGATGCATATACAGACATAAATAGATAATGCATAAAACAGTTGTTGTAATGTATGCTTTATTGGATTCATTTTTACGATTTATATTCATACACAAATTGCAAATTAATTGGGGGACTTAAATGAATTGAATGTTTTATATTTCAGACCTAGATTTGTGTGTTGTAAACAAGTACACCCCCGTGTAAAGAATACTGAAATCAGGGACACCAAATCCAAACACCAAGGAAGGCCCCCTTGATCCTATAGGCTAGAACGTCATAGTGTAAGAATTAACAACTATCCACTATAATAATATGTGTATTAATAAATTCGTAAATCAAGTTTGCATTATAAAATTGTTTTTTAACTTTTTTTATGAAACATTAATTTTATATTAAATCAGTATTATTTTGTTTGTAGTGTGAGGAGAACCTGGTTCCAGGAGGAGGTGTGATGGACATGAGGTTGAATGGAATGATTTTTCCACACCGAATGAGGGGTGTGAGGCACAATTTGAAATAAAGAAGATGCAGGTCCATGTTGAACAACTTGAAAGGGAGAACCATCTACTCAATAACCATCTGGCTCTTGAGAATTTTGGAGTATCAAGAACTAGAACTGACCCGTTTCAGGCAATATTACATTTCTTTACTGTGTGATACTTTCAAGTGTATAACGCGAAAATGACTGTATCTGTATCTGTAGATACTGGGATTGCTGATGACGCCACGTGTATGACGTGAAACTGACATACCAATTCCTTTGGTGTGTATCTGTAGATACTGGGATTGCTGATAAGGCCACGCGTATGACGTGAAACTAACATACCAATTGATTTGGTGTGTATCTGTATATACTGGGATTGCTGATGACGCCACGTGTATGACGTGAAACTAACATACCAATTGATTTTGTGTGTATCTGTATATACTGGGATTGCTGCTGACGCCACGTGTATAACGCGAAACTGACACACCAATTCCTATGGTGTGTATCTGTATATACTGGGACTGTTGATGATGCCATGTGTATGACATGAAAGAGACACACCAATTCCTATGGTGTGTATCGGTATATACTGGGATTGCTGATGATGCCATGTGTATGACATGAAACTGACACGCCAATTCCTATGGTGTGTATCTGTATATACTGAGATTGCTGATGACACCATGTGTATGACATGAAACTGACATACCAATTCCTATGGTGTGTGTCTGTATATACTGGGACTGTTGATGATGCCATGTGTATGACATGAAACTGACACACCAATTCCTATGGTGTGTATCTGTATATGCTGGGACTTTTGATGATGTCACGTGGATAACATGAAACTGACACACCAATTCCTATGGTGTGTATCTGTATATACTGGGACTGTTGATGATGCCACGTGTATAACATGAAACTGACACACCAATTCCTATGGTGTGTATCTGTATATACTGGGATTGCTGATGATGCCACGTGTATAACATGAAACTGACACCCCAATTCCTATGGTGTGTATCTGTATGTTATGGCATTGACAAATCCTTTGGTGTGTATCTGTATATACTGGGATTGCTGATGACGCCACGTGTATGACGCGAAACTGACATTCCAATTCCTTTGTTGTTTGTCTGTATATTGCGATGGCTGATGATGCCGAAGTATGACGTGATAATCTTTGTGTTATCTCAAAATGCCATATATGCAATATTTTTGTATTTACTGGGATTGCTGTTGATGCCACGTGTATGACGCGAAACTGACATACCAATTTTTTTATGGGTATCTGTTTATAGTATATACTGAGATTGCTGATGATGCCACGTGTATGACACGAAACTGACATTTAAATTCCTTTTTTTGTGTATCTGTATATAGTATATACAGTAAACTACGGTTATAACGAACTCCAAGGGACTACTAATTATAGTTCGTTATAACCGAAGTTCGTTATAAGTACATTATACAGCATGACTATAGAAAGTAGTCGGGACCAGAAAGTAAGTTCGTTATATCCGTCAGTTCGTTATAAGCGTGTTCGTTATAACCGTAGTTTAGTGTACTGGGATTGCTAATGATGCCTAGTGTATGACATGAAACTGACATTTAAATTCCTTTTATGTGTATCTGTATTTTGCATATACTGGGACTGTTGATGATGCCATTTGTATGACATGAAACTGACACACCAATTCCTATGGTGTGTATCTGTATGTGCTGGGATTGCTGATGATGCCATGTGTATGACATGAAACTGACATACCAATTCCTTTGGTGTGTATCTGTATATACTGGGATTGCTGATGATGCCATGTGTATGACATGAAACTGACATACCAATTCCTATGGTGTGTATCTGTATATACTGGGATTGCTGATGATGCCATGTGTATGACATGAAACTAACACGCCAATTCCTATGGTGTGTATCTGTATATACTGAGATTGCTGATGACACCATGTGTATGACATGAAACTGACATACCAATTCCTATGGTGTGTATCTGTATCTACTGGCATTGTTGATGATGCCATGTGTATAACATGAAACTGACACACCAATTCCTATGGTGTGTATCTGTATATACTGGGACTGTTGATGATGCCACGTGTATAACTTTAAACTGACACACCAATTCCTATGGTGTGTATCTGTATATACTGGGACTGTTGATGATGCCACGTGTATAACTTTAAACTGACACACCAATTCCTATGGTGTGTATCTGTATATACTGGGACTGTTGATGATGCCACGTGTATAACTTTAAACTGACACACCAATTCCTATGGTGTGTATGTGTATATACTGGGACTGCTGATGATGCCATGTGTATAACTTTAAACTGACACACCAATTCCTATGGTGTGTATCTGTATATACTGGGATTGTTGATGATGCCATGTGTATGACATGAAACTGACATACCAATTCCTATGGTGTGTATCTGTATCTACTGGCATTGTTGATGATGCCATGTGTATAACATGAAACTGACACACCAATTCCTATGGTGTGTATCTGTATATACTGGGACTGTTGATGATGCCACGTGTATAACTTTAAACTGA